TTCTCCATTTAATATTTAATTAAATCTTTTATACGCGTGTGCGTACTCGTTTTCTCGTAGTTGCGTATTTTAATATCGTTTAGATACGTTGGCGTGAGAGACCCCCTAATTAATTTTTAACCGTTTTACACATACTCATTGTTAAAAAAAAAAAAAAAAAAAAAAAAAAACAATTCTCTCTTGGCTTTTAAATATGAACCGATGTTGGAATATTTCTGCGCGTGATATGATTCTGTTTTTTCTGATAATATTTAAATAAGCTTTTGTTTCGACGTCGTCTCCCTTATTATTTTTTATATTTACCTCGGTATCGGTTTATTCTCAAACGTGCTGGGCCGATCGTCACCATCTTCAGTAGGCGTCATAGGAATTGTCACTGTGGACATCGCCGAATAAAAACTTCGGGGGGCTATTTACACGCACTGTTGCGGCAAGTAAAACTTATATCACAATTCTATTCAAAAAAACCCCAAGTTTTTGTTTTCCCTCCAAAAACACTTCACGTGGTTCTTCGCGCCGAGAAAGAGCTCGATGAAATCGAACGGCCAACGAGATCCTTACAACTATATGTTTACAATACATGCAATATAATTTTACGAAACACAGAGAACAATAACAATATTTTTCTTCTTCTATCAATTTACAAAGTTATTTGAAGCACACGTACAATTAGATATTTCGCGCGACAGCAATAAATTAGACATCAGACAGCGATAAATTAACGATTTTCAAAGTGATATAAGCGGGAGTGACAAGGAGTGCAAAATAGCCGCTTCCAAGTGCGACCTGTCGCTCTCGATGTTTTCACTCTCGATCGACTACTACGCTCGCGATACGCGTATCGCCGCGCTTTATTCGGTTCACGCTTTCCGTGATCGACGACCGGAACACTTGTTTGTAATCGCTTCCGCGTGATACGAGTGATTCACACCACGAGGACAAGGTGGGAGGAAGGAGTGTGCGCGACGAAGGGGTTGCTTCCCTCTATCGCGAGCAGAGGCGCGATCCCTCTTTTCGCGGCGAGACCCTGGCGAAAACTAAACCTGGTTGTTGCGTCGTTCCGGCACTTCGCGTTCCTGGGCTTGCGCACGCGTGAACCCTAAAACTCGAGCGAACGGGTGGAATTCGCGGTAACGTCGTAAAAGTGATCTCACCCACTCGCTGCATTCGCTACAATAACCGTTGCTTTGTAAGGGAAATGAGAGATGAGGATCTCGCGGGACAGCTTTGACGACAAACGTCGCTGTGTTTCTAAACCTGTTTTTCTCCCTACCCCATGACAAACATAACTTTGTAAAAATATATTGTTTACGCAGATGAGACTCGCGTTCGAGAAAGTTAAATAAATAAACTCTTTTTGAGATTGGCGTATGTCAGTATTTTAAATTCAATTTAATAAGAGTCAAACGCGGAATGTGAACGCGCAATGTTATGCAAATGTAATTATGTAAGAATTACATTCGCATAACATTACACAAATTCCAATTAAACTAACGATGAAATTCAAATTCGATGAAAACAATTCGTTTTTTTAACGCGCACGCTATTATTGCTTTTATTTTAACGTGTAGTGTGAGTGAAATTAAACTGTCACCACAATTACAGCTAATATATACGTTCTACAAACAATATAATACACATGATGTACATATGAGAGATTTCAGAAATAACGCATGAAAATCAAACAAAAAATAAAAGAAAAAGTGACTCTCCCCGGTCGCGCGACCGGGTCAGTGACCTCCCACCTACCACGGTCGCGCGACCGAGGTCAGTGACTCCGCCAAGCTCGCGCGGCCGAGGTCAGTGACCCCGCCGCAGTCACGCGACCAAGGTCAGTGACCCCGCCAAAATCGCGCGGCGGAGGTCAGTGACATTACTCTGTAGTATGTATATAATACATATAATACAATATAAAGTATAATATTATAAATATATAATAAATTATATGTATAATGTGTATTAGTTAATGTTTTATATAATATAAATTACAGTCACGTTATTTTCACGTGTTGTTTAAAATAAATATTTCAACTGCGAGAGCAAAATTAAATTACAAAATTAGTTTCTCATTGTTAATTAGAAAAACAATGAAATTGTTAGGACAACTGTTCAGGATTAAAGTCCTGCGAGAGCGCTTCGGGTGTGCACTACGTGAATGAGATAGGACATAAACAGTAATTTAATCAACCTGAGTATCCTTCGTCTAACCTCTGTGTGTGTGTATGTATGTGCACTAAAAAAAAAAACTAAAACTATAAAACTATAGATAGAGATATTTTACATTATGAAGAAACTGAAAAAAAACAAGCCTCTTTCAATAATGCAGATTGTAGAGACTATTAAAAACGATTCAGATTAAACTAGATGAAGATCAAGAAAGAAAAAGAGATAAGAAAAAGAAATAGCACGGAGTCCGGATCGGATGTCTTGAGCCGATTAAAAACATCATGTTTATTCATCTCTCTTCAGTTACACGCGCCTCAACGCATCCGGCGAGATATTTCTTTCACAGAGAAAAATGAAGAGCTCTCATTTAATTTCGACGAACACGCCGGGTTTTAATGAGAAATTTTTCAAATCCGAAAGATCAGGAAGTAATGGGAAACCGTCAACTGTAAACGCATTTTCTTTTCTCCAAGAACATTTACAGAAATACAAACAAATATGCTATGAATTTATTAAAAAAGCTTATTTAGTCCTTGACGTGGATTTGAGAAATGACAAGTAATTGAAGAAATTGTTTTCTATATAACAGCAATATCGCTTCCTCTTTTAGTCTAAAGCTAAGTCAAAAACGTTTCAAGCTGATTGTACGCACTGGAGTCGATGCAAGTGTGTTCCGAGCTAGTAGATATGAATAATTTCTTCAATATGTTTTTACATTTTTTTAATTAAATAATTGTCTAATTTACATTTACATCGGAAAATTCTAAAAACAAAAAAAATCGAATTTCAATGAGTTAGATTTTCTCTTTCCGCTTTCAACGCCCGGCGGAAGATTAAAGAAAAATCCCGGAACTCTCTCTCTCTCTCTACTATCTCGCATATTTTAATGGAATCAATTTCAATTTCTCAAACGCAAAATCCGAACGCGCCATATGGCGCAGTTTGTAATCTCGAGGATCTGCGAGATCGATTGTCTGCGTAATGTTCCGCGCGGTGATAAAAGGCGATTTTACACCGCGGCCAGCGAATTGTAGTCAAGAGAAAATTGGCTATATTACGGGCGAACAATATATAATAATCCGCGGATGAGCGGGTCGCGCGGTCGAATGAATATTAATGCTGCCGCGAACTATTTAGGCAGGAAATAGCAAACAGTGTCAATAGTTTCCTGATTCTCTAACAGGTTGAGTTACGGAATTAATTAGCTT